TGTTGTGAGTAAAATAATTTCACCCTGCCCTTGGAATGTACACTTTCTTGTGTTACAACTCTTACAGAGCCTGCCTTCTGAACTATAACTTAACATCTAACAATGCAACATTATCTTTGCTTGCAGAAAGCAATGCATTATGGGCTATGTAGTCTTGAGAAGTCAAGATTGCATCATGTCACGCAGCAGGAAAGAGATGCAAAGCACAGTGGGAATCCAGGAAGTTGTTTAAAGGAGAACTATGAGGTGAGTGCTTTTCACTCACTTCATAGTTCTAGCTGACCTGTGACAAGGAGACTGTCACAGGTCGGCTCAGTATATCGGGAGGTGAGCAAACGCATACCGGCGTTCGCTCACCTCTCGATCCTGTCACGGTTCTCGGTATACTGAGCCTAGGGTGACGGGAGGACGCTAGTTTGTGTCCTCCCGTTACCCTAAGGAGAACTATGGGGAAAAGCCCTAACCCCATAGTTCTCCTTTAAAGTGATAGACAGCACGCACTAGATTTTCAAGTAAGCTTTGATTGCATTATCAAAAACAACTATAGCATGAATTCCTATTACAATGCTGATTGTATTACAGGATAGTATACTCTGGGACTGAAGAACTCCTTTACTTTAGTAAAGTTAAAGTTTACTGACTACAATCATCCAATTATATGTGATCAACAATCAAGATTTTTAGTTTTTATTTTCTTGCATGGGATTGGGTATTCTCTGGAACGTGAAGTGAAAGTAAACATACTATACTCCTTTAATAAATAAACCCCAATGCATCAATACTGTACACCCCTTTTATGTTCCCTTGATACCTGGTAACTTTTCAACACAATACTTTATGAACTATTAGTCGTTTATTGTAGGAACATACTTGTATAACAGTAAGTAAGTACTATCCTTGTCGCACTCCTTACCGATATGTCCCTTGTAGTGGGGGGTGCTCGCAGTGACTGCGGATGGCAGCGCGAATGTCAGAAAAATTGTAGAAATGTCACCAGCACACCAGTCCTTTTTAAGAAAGCAAAGATAGCAAAAGCGTCTGTTATTGAAGTTTTTTGTCATATGACCAAACAAGCACTTTCGGGACCGCACAGGGTCCCTTCAATGCTAAAGCCTGATGAAGGAACCTTGTGCGATCCCGAAAGCGCTTGTTTGGTCATATGACAAAAAACTTAAATGCTTTTGCCATCTTAAAAGGACTGGTGTGCTGGTGACATTTCTACAATTATACTTGTATAACAGGTCGCACATATAAGGACATATATTATGACAATATTTATGGCCAGCAGATGACTTCTTAGTGGACAGTGAGGGATGTTTCTAGATCTTGTGGTGACATACTAAGATGTGTTGGCTTTATTTACACTACCATCTAGTCATCTAGCCAGAGGTAATGCATTACTATGGGTGGACTCTTTCATGGTGACATGGCCAAACACAATTGGGATGGGGGGGGGGCAGTCAGTTAAGAGATTTCTTAAGAGATATTACCTACCACTTCCATATCTGGCAGGAAGTTAACGGAAATCTCCTTAGGGGGTACACAGACTTTAAATAAAAACGTAACATTTTATCCCTTCCCCACTTTGACCAAAAAAAGAAAAACAAAAGTTTTGCATGGAGTTGGGCTTTAAGCACTGATGATTAACTGGCAAATGTAAAAATTAAGCCGACTTCAACAATCTGTTATACAATATCAGTATTGTTTATAATATGTCAGATACATTCCATTTTTAAGTGGTAAACTTTTCAAAGGAGAATTATGGGGTGAGTGAAAAACGCTCATCCCCATAATTCAAGCCGACCCGACTTAATTGGGTTAACATGTGCTTCACAGGTGCAGGAAATCTTCTGATCTCAGGAAAGTTGACACCGCAGTTGTCATGGGTTGGCTCTATTGATCGTTAAGTCAGCAAACACATACCGCCAACCACTGACTTCCCCATCCTCCCCCTGCAGAGAGCGGTGACTGTCAGTCATCACTCCCCGCAGGGATTCTCCCCTCTTATGTCCGATTCTGCAGCACTGACTGGAGGAATAGACAGTGGAGGGGGCGGGCACAGCTGGCTCTGCTTCTAAAGAGGCAGAGCCAGCTGTCAATCAGCCAGTGGGGTGGATCTCAACAGTGTTGGGATCCGTCCAGGCTGCAGCGCGGCTTTGTGCTCTCAGCATATAGCGGGACCCATCTACTGAGAGAACCTGACCCTGAAGAGAACTAAGGCCAAAAAGAGTTAGGCCATAGTTCTCCTTTAAGGTAAACTTGCTATTAAGGCAGAGGGTCAGCATGATATATAGTCAACTGAAAGTCTTCAGGTTTCTCTGAAAGGTTTCCAATCCTTGACAATGAATTGTTGGATGTCAAGCTCTTTTCTCTTGGTAAGAGATTCCCTTGAAAGACTAATTGTACTTTAACACAGTTGCCATTTAAATAATCTCCTCAAAGCGCCCACCCCCCAATTCTACACTCAACTGTTCCTGCTCCTTGTAGATCTTCAGTAGGGGATCTGCTGGGAACTCCATAGCCTCCTCATAAAAAGTCGCCTAGCCAGGACACCTGTTGTAATTCTGTACGATTTTATGTCCTGCCTTTCACATATTAATAGTGTCCACATCTACAATTGGACATTGTCTTCTATGTATTTTTGTTCTTGTCTTTGTTGTTATTATGAAAATCTCAATACACTTATTTAAAAAAATAAAAGTCACCAGGTTACACATGTGCAGGAAAATCCCAATTAATTTCTATGAAAAGGCCGTCCACTTGTATAAGAAGTATGGACAGGTAAGTTAGAATTTAAGAAAGTGCTAAAGCGTGTTATTAGTGAAATACAGGGTTGGCCATTGCTCGGGAAATCGGGATCAGGAAAGAGTCATATGTCCTTTTCTGTAAGGATGCAGCGATACTTTTCAGATACCAGTGCCGATACTTGGCATTTTCATGAGTACTACCAGGGTTGCAGCTGGGACCTGGCTCTGGCACTCCACCACTGTCCTGAAATCATTCGTCTGTATTGTTTTAGAAAATCTGTCACATGACAATAAACAAAAATGTATCAGTACTTGTATCTGTGAGTACTTGAACAAGTATCAGTACTCGTACTTGCAAAAACTGGTATCGGTGTATCCCTTTATGTATATTTATAAAAACAAAATCCTACATTAAAACAGAGATGTACAATACCCGGGAGCTCCGTGTGCTACTTCAACATGACAGCTGCCTCCTAACTTTTGAATTTTACTCTAGTCTAGTCTTGGAGCTCGAAAAGTATCTGTACTTGTACTTGTTACGTGTACGGTACTTGGTATTGGTGCATCCCTACTTTTCTGTGTACCTTTATTCTTGTTTAGAGTATTTGAGCAAGTTAGTCAACATAACTGTTAGACAAATCTTTATAAAGTGGTGAATGTTCAATTCACCAGTCATTCGCAACTTTCCTGAGATCAGAAGATCTCCTGCACTTGTAAAGCACATGTTAACCCAATTAAGTCACAATTGCTGCTATTGTCCCATCACCGGGGTATCCCCCCCCCCCCCTTCATTAGTCAATCCAGGTCTCCATAAAATTTGTCATATGGATAATAACAGCCACAGTTACATTTGCAGATAACTAAACATTTGTTGGTTTTCCTGATTGATTTGATAATTCATTCCTATGGAAAGCCGTCACACTTTATCTGCATTTAACACACTACGAATGAGGATTTTATGCCTTGCTAGGTTTAATACAAGTCACATTCATAAGCCAGATATGGAAGTGATTGGGATGCTGAGCTTTTGTAAAGAAAAATAACCATCTAAAGCTATCTGTTCACATCATATATTCCTCAAAAACAGTACAGTTACACTCTAATTACCGAACAAATGTGCCAGTAATTACCAGCATTAGATTTATAAACTAATAACTCATAATAACTAATAATGCTACAATAACTCAGTGCCCTTAAGTCAGAAGATAGATGGATTTGTCAGGATAGAAATTTGTTGTCCATTCCCCCACTGCTCTAGTTTAGAGAAGGACGATGCTCTTGGTAGCTACACCTTTTACACGTTTTGGATATGCGTATATAATTAAAGCTACATTATGAAATGCTCACCTTGGTTCAGGCACTTTCTAGGGATCGGGGGGTGGTATTTCCCTGTTGAAGCTACGTTTTTACCCCCTACTTGCTATACTGTAGATAAATTTGTACCATGCATTTACTTAAGAGTGCTGACTACTTTATATTCAGATTCTGCTATCCTGTTGAGGTCCCAGAGACTTTTACCCAACTGGTGATTGATCAACACTGCAAGAGTACCAACAAATCCTTTTAAAGCTGAAGTCTGTACCATTGTATTTTTGTAAGAATAAATCTAAATGGCTCTTTCCTGAGTATTGGTCTGGTATCAGGCCTATAGAAAACTAAATTTCCTGGCAGGCTTTGCTTTACCATCACAATGCCATCACTTGTCCTGATATAACTACCAGAACGCTGTAATGTGGGGAATTAATGTGCAGATATATTACAATTAGTTGGGAACGCCCATTCAAAGCACAATGCAAGTCCTTACTGTACAGGATTTAAGGTGGAAGTAGGTGTCCGACCATTCATAGTTGCTGAACCTCCCACCTGAGACCAGTCATCTGATCAGGAGCTAACGAGTAGAAGACCACTGTGACATAAAGGAAGGCATATTACTTACTGAGAAAGCATTTGCATGGAATTTCATACATTTTAAGATTTAACTTGGGGACAACATTGTCCTGGTAGCTTTTTATCTGTTCAGCTAGGAAACACATAACTGATTTAATTGCTGTAGCGTAAACAAAAAAAAAATGTCACTTCCTTGCAGAGTACACAACATGCAGATATTTTGTTCTTGGGGTAAAAAGGTCAGAGAACCAACATACCAGCACAGCTCTTCAATCATTATTGATCAAATGTCTCTGTGGCGCTCACGATTAAGGGATTTCATTCTGTATAGCTGTTTATTGATCTGTGCAATGATATCTGTTTCAGGACTATGAATTTAGGTGGAACTATCATTCCCCTGGAGGAGAAATCCAGAGACCCGCAGGTTGTCTGTTACACAGCTTTCTATGACACGGAGGGAGTGGGCCATACCAAGAGTGGGGAGAGGCAGCCTCTGCAAGTCATTATCCAGGTACTAATCCATCATTGCTTGATAAGAATAATAGTGTCTCATTGATGTCTGTTATTTGATGAATTAAAAGTCAGTCCATTCAAACCAGATATTTCTGTGTTTTCTAGATGATGATGTGTTTAATCATCTGTTTTTCTTATTTTTGACTGACTCTGATGGTAAAATATTTATTCTCCCCTATTTTGAAGCAGGAGGAGTAAGACAACTAATATAAAGGGAGTTATGTTGCCTCTGTCACAGAGAAGTAAAAGTAGACCGTGAATGTCTGTCCATAGAGAAATATTGTAATCAATTACTGTATAGCAGTAGTTCTGCAACCAGCTACAGATTTCCAGAGGAAATAAGCAAATCCCTCCCACAAAAACACTAGCCTACCTAACATGGCCCTTAGGACAAAATGACTACTGGGGAATTTAACCGCTTGTTGACATGAAATCAATGCATTGCATGTGTTAAGATGATAGCTAACAAGTGGTTAAATCTCTCAGTAGCATCACCAATGTAGTTTAGTACTGAGCAGAAAATCCTCTTATGGCTTTCAGGATCACAAGCGCGAAATCACAAGCATTAAAGGCGATCACTTATCTCAGATGATGGAAACTGCCATTCTCTGACTCAGAGGATGTTTTTGTATCCTACTCTAATTTTTTGTTTTTTAAAATACCACACATATAGCTAACAAACAACTGCATCTACCATCCTTACTGAATTATTACATTTGATATTCTTAGACTAGGAGAGTCATTTCTGTACCATAAAATTGTCAATAATCATGAGCTGTAACATAATCTGCTTTATAAACGTCATATGAATGGCCATCTGCTGCCGGCAACTTCTACACCGAGTGTCAAAGTTTCAGATCACAGATTTAGATATGAAAATAATTCTTAAAACAGTTCTCACCTTTTGTATTTCACTAAAGAAAAACCCCACAGGAAACAAAAAACACTAATAAAATAACACTTCAGGTTTCACATTTCAAGACATTAATTAAAAAGGTGATAAAGTAACTGAACAATACAGACTAATTTATAAACAGTGTAACCTGCAAAGCACTGAACAGGCATAGATAGTAAATGTGGTGAGAGATTTACCACTCTCCATGGGAAGTATATACAGGATGTTCATGGTGGAATGAAGCAGAAGACAAGGGAAATATTTCAATTTATGTACATTGCACATTACATCAGCTGATATCAAACAACAGGTTCTAGTGTGGAAATTGTGTGACTAGTTTCAGTATTGTGTATGGTGTTGGAGATGTTAAAGCCTAGCTCTATTTTTTTAACTTTTAATTAGCGCAAGATAGGGTTAAACTACCGTGTTTTTCTTGCCATCTGTGTTTTCCATGTATCTTTAATGGGTTCAGAGTTATGTAATTCCTGATCACTTCTGTGGACCGTGACAAGCTGTCCAAATTCTCCACATATTATAGCAGATTGACATTTCTGGAATATGTGCTGCTCTGATCCTTTAAAAAGCCAATAATTTCTCAGCATGGCTACAGCCAGACCAAATTTGGTATGTCATTGTAAAGCTGGACATACACTGTTAGAATCTTGAATCGGCTAAAACTATAAACAGTGGATGGCCTTACCTGCTCGAAAAAAGTTGATCAATGTTAATTGGCTCCTGTCTGAGCAATATCGATTTTTGCTGTTTGACACCATATGGATAAAAACCATGTTTTAAGAAGACTAAAGGTGCCCATACACCTTACGATAATCGCGGGAAATCGCGATAGTACGATTATCGTAAGGTGTGTGGGAGCCATGCGACCTCTGCTAGTGTAAGGTCACATGACTTTTATCTTAGGAACTTGTTCGAAAACCCGCCGAGAATCGTACAATTTTCGGCGGGTGTGTAGCATGTTCGGAAGATAAAAGCCGGAAGGGCCAGTGTACGCAAGCGCACACTGCCCGTTCAGCATTGCAGTCATCGGAAGCCCGCCCCTCATAGACATAGACAGATCGTACATTTTTTAAATTACCTTACAACCATCGCAAGACAAAAGTCTTGCGATGGTTGTAAGGTGTGTGCCCAGCCTTATAATTGGTACCAATTCTCACAAACCGCTTAGTATGCACTTAGTGGGATTTTTTTTACCAAAAACATTTAGCAGAATAAATTTTGGCCTAACTTTAGGAAGAAATTTTATTTGATATTTTGTATAACAAAAAGTAGAAAATATAATTTTTGCCCCCCACTTTTTTGGGTCTTTTTCATTTATATAAAAAATAGATCTCCAGACGAAAAATTGTGGGCGCCCTGCTCTAGACAGACTGTTCCCTTGACTATATTTTCCCCTCCTGATCCACCTTCAAATCACCTCATTCTCCAGTGCTGTTTTGTTAATTTAGGAGCCACTTCTGGGCTTGCTTCAAGTTTTTCCTTGAGGTGCCCTTTCTAATCTGTCATGGAGAGACTTGAGCCTACACTCCATGGTGGTTCAGGAGGGGTGCTGCCGCACCAAAAGACGGGAGATCAGAAGCGGGTCTAAAGCCACTGACCCACTATGGAGGCCCACCACATAGCAATACATTATACAGCAATGCAGAATACCACCAGCTGTAGAGGACTACAAATCCCAGCAATACATTATATAGCAACGCAACGCAACGCAGAATAATATGAAACTACATACTCTGTGTTGCTCTAGGGTGGTGGCCTGATGTCTCCAGGGTCCTGCTATATGGGGGTCTCAGGAGGGCTGTTGGGAGTTTCAGGAGGGCTGTGAGGAGTCTCGGGTGGGCTGGGGGTTCACAGGTAGCCTGTGGGGGTTTCAGGTGGGCTGTGCAGAGTCTCAGGTAGGCTTGGGGGGGTCTCTTGTAGCCTGTGCGGGTCTCAAGTTGGGCTCTGCGGATTATTATTAATAATGTTTAAAAAAAAAAACTTTTTATCAGTTTTTTTTTTCACGTAACTTGAGCCTGCCCTCCAGTACAGACTCTTAAGACCAGCGCCCGGAAGCACGTGCCCCCCTCTGCCTCTCCTCGCTAGCCACTGCCGGGACGCTCCTGGGGGGGAGTTTGAACCCCCCTATCCCCCCCCTTATCTATGCCCCTGAGTTGTCCTGAGTCCAGATAGGACTGTAAAAATCTGGAGATGTTGCACCATCAGAATTGTTAATGCTACCGCTGTACAATATTTAGTCTAAAGGAAACCTTTCTATTCCCCCAGAATAGTGCCTCATCAACCATTTCAAATGCACTTCTTCCCCAAAACATGCAGCCTAAACAGAAAAGCCAGTGCCGTTACTGATATACAAAGGTAGACTTATCTACTACACCCTCATCTCAATCTCCAACCACTATATGGAGAAACCAGTGATTCCCAACTTTCACGGAAGGGGCAGAGGTGCCTTTTGATTTGCGAACTGCTACTGGCAAGATAGCAGTGCCCAACTGGGGAAGAACTGATTCTCTGGAGACTGGAGCAGGGTTTTTGTTCACTGATTAGGCACTAGGGAGTAGTTCCAAAGCTTAATGGTCCCTATTTGGCAGCAGTTTCCTTAGGCCCCTTTCACACAGGTGGTATAGTCAGGTCTGTCTGTCAGTTTTTCAGGCAGACCCGATCAGATGCCCAATGTAAGTCCATGGACAGCCGGGTCTAAATGGACTGGTGTCCATTTCCACCCGGTTACCCCGGACTCTCACCGGACCTGATTGAGCAGGATCGGGGGTAAGTGGATGTAAATGGACAGAAGTCCATTTACATCCTACGCCCCATAGACCGACATAGGGTCTGGTCATTTGTTTACTCCTCCATTGCAAGATGGAGGAGAAAACTAGACGGACACGGATGTCTCAGCGATCACATCTGATATGTGCCGCCCTGATCAGGAGGGGATCTGTGCACGTGAGAGTGGTTGTCCTAGAATATCTTCGGTGATAAAATACATCCTATTTATTTAAGTCTTTGTAGTCCTTCAGCTAAGTATTGTAAATGGTTCACCATGGCATAGATTAACTTTAGTTGCTTGTGAAAAGATAAAACAAGAAGCTTTTTAAAGTCCAAATGTCCAAGTTAATGATAACTGATTTTAAGCACAAGTATCTAATCATTAATCAGATTTAATTAAATGTCTTTAATTAAACCATCAAAAAAAAACTTTCATTGGCTCCATAGACCAGTTATCTAAGAAGGTCATATAGCAACCCAGTGTTTTGCAGTGATGATGATATGAATATGCTCCAGAATGGTTCTGCTAAGTCCTCATTTAGACTTAGGCCTTTCTTCACTGTTTTGATTTCCCCATTAAATTATATTTATCTAATGACCTGAGAGCTTCACATTAGGGTTGAACAGATACCAAGTACAGTACTCGGTGCAAGTATGAGTACATGTACCGATACTTTTGAGCTCCAAGACTACACTAGAGAAAAATTCAAAAATTAGGAGGCAGATGTCATTTGTAAGCAGCACACGGAGCTCTCAGGATTTGTACATCTCTGTTTTAATGTATGATTTTGTTTTTATAAATAGAAATAAAGGGATGCACAGATACCAGTTTTACGAGTACTAGTACTTGCCCAGTACTTATAAGTACGAGTTATAAGTACTTTTGTTTATTGTCATGTGACAGTTTTTCTAAAACAATACAGACTAATGATTTCAGGACAGTGGTGGAGTGCCTGAGCCAGGTCTCAGCTGCAACCGATGCAACCCTGGTAGTTCTCATGAAAATGCCAAGTATCTGCACTGGTACTCGAAAAGTATCTGTGCATCCCTACTTCACATTTAGTTAAGAAATGTCCCAAGCTTATTTTTGATTTGCATACTATATATAGGGATGTCCCTGGGTAGTACATTTATCAGATCTCCATCACCCGATGCCTTTCACTTATATAGTAGATGATATCCGATGGGTGTATAGATTAACAATAGTGTCAGGATAGCATAGGCAGATTTTGGCTCCCTATAGACATAACATAACGGTCTTAAGAAATGTATGATTTTTAGGTCAGTTATTCATTTGTCCACGAAAAATCTTTTAAAAAATG